CGACGATGGATGCGTGAGTGTGCGTGTGCATCGGTTTGTTGTGGTGTGTGGTGTGTGTGTGTGGTGTGTCGTGTGTGTGTGGTTGTGTGTGGGTGGCGCTCTCGTGTGGTGTGTGTGTGTGTGTGTGCGTGTGTGTGGTGTTAATACGTGTGTGGCGGTGGTCCGCCATGCGGCGCCGTTCCTTTGTGTGTTATGTAGACGCACACACACACCACACCCACACGCACACACGCGCGCGCACACACACACACACAGCGCACGCACGCCACATGCCGCCTGCCTCTTTCTGTTCGCCTCTTCTTTTTTTTCTCCTCGCCCCTCTCTCCTTCCTTCCTGCTCTCTACTGCAACTGTCATCTTTGCCTCCCCTTAGCTAAGAACCCTGGATGTGGCAATACTCTTATTTCTAATGAATGTTCACCATAATGAATAACTGGTAAATGCTATGCTCATGAATGGGCTTATGAGATTCAATTATAATCTACATGAATTATGCATAGTGCTGTACATACATCAATTGGCAATATAGCATCTTACTACATCTTTATATTCTACATTAGCTAAACTAACCAACTACTAACGAGCAAACACACACATACACACATACACACCCCAACAACAAAGAAAGACGGACGGACGGATGGACGGGATGGACAAAAAAGAAATGAAAAAGACTGACGGATTGAAAAACCGAAAAAGAGAATGGCGTGGGCGGATAGACGGTCGAAAGGTCCTGAAAAAATTTCATTCTCGATCCGTCAATATCTTTCGAGTCCTTCCATCATTTGTTATTTGTCCATTCCGTCCTCCATATCGACCGTATGTCCGTCTTTCTTGTCCGTGCTTCTTAGTAGTTAGTTAGTTTATTAGTTTGTTATGTCTGTCACCCACGGCCACATACATGTACACGCATACAACGATACATAGAACAAACATATATAGACATTTTAATACAGGCCTGTTTCCGGCTGCTGGTGGGACTCGAACTAGCCGAGCAGCAATAGGCCAGGTAAACCTGCACCAAACCACTGAGTATAAGGCGCCTGATAGCATAATCTCGCCCCTCATACTTATACTTCCGCTAATTCCATGTAAAAAAAAGGCAGCCAAGGTAAGTGCGAGAAGCCAGCGACAGTCTAGCTGTATCCTTCACACTGACCTTAGCTGCCTTCTAAATTGCTATACACAGATACTCTACAGACACCTTCTCTGCCTATCTCTCTCTCTCGTCTATTCTGCTCTCGCTTGTCTTCGTCTCTCCTCCTCGTCTCTCTCTCTAGCCGGTGTTCTCCTCTCTCTCGGTCCGGTCCTCTCTTCTCTCTCGTCTCTCTCTTCTCTCTCTCTCGTCTGCTGCTGTCTCTGCTCTGGTCCTCTCTCCTCCCTCTGCTGCTCTCCTCTCTCTTCTCTCTCTCCTCTTCTCCTCGCTCTCCCCTGCTTATCCTATATCTCTCTTCCTCTCTCTCTGCTCACGTGCTTTCCATCCCGTCTCACTCTCTCCCGTTCTCTCGCTCTTTTTTTCTTCTCTCTCGTCCCTCGCCACTCTATTCTCTCCTCGCCACCCTTCTCACTTGCGTCTCCCTCGCCCTCTTGCACGTGCCACTCTCTCTCTCTCGTTTCTTTCGCCGCCTCTCATCTCTCTCTCTCTCTTCTTCGTCTCTCTCGTCTCTCTCCTCTGTGACTGTACCAAGATGCACTATGTCTCCCTTGCGCTCATCCGTGAGTCCGGACAACTAGAATATATATAACTAAACTAGTCATTCGATACCAAGCCCGCTGTGACATTCTATTAATACTATATAGAATGTCAAACGGGCTTTGTACGCCAATCTTGGGCGATTGACATGCCTGAATAATAACTTTTCGATGCCGTATGATTCATATCAAAATTCCTTGTTTGATGTGAAGCGAAAAGCGGAGAAAACACACAACCATCTATCCTTGATCGATCGACCCGCACCCTCCTCCTGCGTTCGTATTTATGCGCGCAGTGATCGAAATCACTAATGCCAACCGTTCGTTCTGGGTCGTCGGTCTGTGCTCCGTCGGTGCTGTCGCTCCGTCGCATGCTGTATCCGCAGTCTCCCCCGGACGCAGTCGCATGCACGGAGGATGCTGGCGCGCATTCGCCGTCACGCCGCCGCGCGTGGCCGGCAGAGGGCGCAAGTGCGGATTCGTACGATGTAACGTGTTGGCTGTCACCCGCGGTAGCTTGCAGTGACGACGTCCGTCTAGAAGTTTCCTCGCTTGTCGTCGCCTTCCGAAGGGGAGGTGGGGGGGGGGCCATGATGCGAATATGTCGGGCTAGAAGTGGACAGGGCCGGTGCGTACTGGTGCACCCAAGCATACACGCACGCACACAAGCATGCACGCAGCCATCCAAGCATGCACGCACGCAAAACACAAAGCATGCACGCGTGGCAGACAAGCATAGCACGCACGCACACAAGCATGCACGCACGCATCCAGTAATGCCACGCACGGCACACAGCATCCGGCACGCTCCAAGCTATGCACGCTACGCCGCCAAGCATGCACGCACCGCACAGCAAACATGCACGCACCGCATGCCAGCATGCACGCACGCACCCGAGCATGTCACGCACTGTGCATCCAATCATGCCACGCACGGCCACAAGTCATACAACACACGCAACACACGCATCGCAGCGCACGCACACAAACATGCATGTAGGCCATACAACCAGCATGCAGCACGCACGAACAAACATGCATGTAGGCACACAAGCATACACGCACGCAACAAGCATGCACGCACGCATGCCAAGCATGCAGCGCACCGCTGCACACAAGCATGGCACGCGACGGCATCCAAGGCTGCACGCAGCGCACACAAGTATGACACACACGGCACACAAGGCATGCACGACGCAAGCATGCACGCACGCTCGGGACGCGAAGCATACACGCACGCACACCGACGCACCACAAGCATGCACGCACGAACACAACGCAATGGCGCATGCGCATACGCATACAGCAATCACGTACGCACGGCAAGCATGGTGCCTGCAGGTTCGCGCGTTGGCGCGCGAACATGGAGTGGCAGAGGATATCCGTTGTAAAAGTGTCTGCAGTGTTTCTAATTCCCTATTTTGTTTATTGTAAAGGGGAATCTGTGCTCGCACGCATAGTACGTGAGGGCAAATTATACTAATCCCGAAGCGCCTTGAACCGCCTTTTTCAAGATACACCGGTTACTATCAATGAATTACAGTGTTATAATTACTCATGATTTGTAGTTATTTATTAGCATACTATAGCAAGTGTATAAATACGCAGCCAACAGTCTAGATCTCCACTGTTTTTTGTACGTGAACACCTGACCCGTATCACAGATATGAAATACTTGTTATGTCATGCAATGGTGAGATCACTATATGTCATACAACATAAACTATTGAAAGCTAGCAGCCTATCTTTTACTCTCACTCACGTCTCCTCTCTCTCTTCTCCTTTCTCTTCTCTGTCTCTCTCTCCTCTCATCTCTCTGCTCTCTCTCTTTCTCTCTCTCACGCAGCAATCTGTCTCTCTCTTCTCTTCTTTCTCCTTCTCTCGGCGCGCGACTCTCTCTCGCTTTCTCTCTCTCTCTCTCTTTGTTCTCTGATAATAACAATGTTTTCTCATCCCAACCCTCCACTTGAGCATCTAGCTTTAACTCCCCTATAAACTCCACAAACGTAAACGCATCAGCAACTCACAGACTAGTGAGGAGTAGTTCCCTCAAGACACACGCATTCATAAATGCTGTCCAGCGTGAGTTACGATAAATTCCGCTCGGCGCAATTTGCAGACGACTCTAACCAACCAGCGACGTGACACGACGTTCTAAAAACAATGCCGAGCAACGAAGTATCGACGAACGACGGTGCGCGCAAATTCGACGCTTCGGAATGCGCGGAAAGCGCGGAAGGAACTGTGTGCTTGTCGCACACTTCGCGACAACATCCATCCAAGTAAGAAGCGATTCATCTTTCTCGGGCGGAGACAAATTCGATTCTGCGTCGGCGCGCGGTGACGTCATCACTTCTGGGGCGTCATCTCCGCGCAGAAGTCGCGTCGCAGGTACGCGTGCACCTCCCTCGCGCGCCACTCGGCCATCTTGGCTTTGCGCTGCAGAGTTGTGACGGAGGAGGCGATGCACTCGCCCACGCTGCCGTAGTTGTGGCACATGTACAGAGCCGCCGTGCAACTCACCTGTGTGACGAGATGATGATGATAATAATAATAATAATAATAATACTAATAATAATAATAATAAGTGCAAAACTCTGGATTGAATCACTATGCCCCAGGTTAGGACACAGCCAACCCAGATGCCACCTGCTTATGCCGTGATCCACTATGGAAGTAATAATAAAAGTAATAACAATATTAATAGTAACAGTTGTAATAATACTACTAATAATAATAGTAGTATTAATAATAACGATAATAATAACAGTTGTAATAATACTACTAATAATAATAGTAGTATTAATAATAACGATAATAATAACAGTTGTAATAATACTACTAATAATAATAGTAGTATTAATAATAACGATAATAATAACAGTTGTAATAATACTACTAATAATAATAGTAGTATTAATAATAACGATAATAATAACAGTTGTAATAATACTACTAATAATAATAGTAGTATTAATAATAACGATAATAATAATAATGATAAACATACGTCCGCACATGTCCGAACAGTATTTCCATAATAAATGGACAATTTTCCATTAACGGAAGAGATGTGTGTGTGGAGGAGGGGATCCCACTGACTCCATCATTTTCACACTGAGCTAGCCTTACAGATGGGAGCAAGCACAGGAGGGGACATATTACGCTATGAACGCATTCTTGAAATTTGAAATTAAAGCATTGTAAGAGACACGTGACAGCTAATCATCTTCTAGACATAAGAGAGAGAACGGATAACAATACGTTGAGTAAACATGGATTCCATCACCGTTTTTAACTGGGGGAAGAATAAAATGTCGTGTCTAAAACATTCGTGAGACTGGTTCCTGATCGTTTCTAAAAGTAAAAGTCGAGTAACAAGTCTAACAGCACTGCCTGCTATAGTGTGGTGCACTCCGATTGGTGGAAACTATAATACGATCTGATTAAAGCTCATCGAACTCTGAAGCTCTCGGAGTGGTGCGATCGGGTGGTGCGCATTAATATAAAGCGAGGATTTCTCATTTCAGTCTTTTCCAACCGTTCTTAAATTTTCTCCGCCGTTCTGATACTTACCGGCACGCCTTGCGTAACACCAAGTGTATAAATAATAATCCTTTATGCTGAAGTAATCAGTAATATGTACGCTGACAAGTGAGACCAAATTTGTTTAAATTCTTCTTCTTTTTTTATTTAATAGAGAAATTATCGTTTTAAGTCTGACCTTTGGCAGACTGAGGTAGAACTTGAGTGTGGCCTGCATCGGCTGCGGCACGTTGGTTGGCACGGTGATGGACATATGCTTCCTGTGTTCCTGCAGAGCTAGCTCAGCTAGCAGCGTCGCCGTCTCCTCGTGGTTGTCTGCAAGCACGAACAGCACGAAACCAACAAGTCAATCAGAGCAACACGAAACCAAGAAGCAAAGTCAAAATCAACAGGCTAAGCACAAAGGCATAGCACAAAGTTTTGCAGGATCTTTGTACAGAATGTTTAACACAATGTTTCGCACAATATTTAGCAGAGTGTTTTCACACAATGTTTAGCAAAATATTAATCGCACTGTTTACTACAATGCCTAGCCAAATGTTTGTGTACAAGGTTTAACAGAATATTTGCCCACTTTGGTAAACAGCAATAAAATTCGGTTTGCACATACACATGACTAGCAAATACTTTCTGCTATGGAACCACTTGCAGAGCGACCTGGTTCTTTATTTTGCTTACAAGCAGTAGTTAGCAGTCAAAAGTCAGCACATAACCATAACTGGTGTAACTTATGTAACTGGTACACTTATGTAATTGGTACACTTATGTAACTGGTACACTTATGTAATTGGTATATATATAGGTATTGCGTGTTACTGTTAATACTTTACATTGGACGTCCGCACCTTCCATGGTTGGTGAAATGATACTACGTTTCCGTATAGTTATATTCTATGAGGAGAAAGTTGTGAATTGGTTGCATTCGTTGTGAAATGCTAGCATTTATGGGGATGATATATTTAAAAAGAATATCAAGAAATTTACTTACACTAAGAGTATATCATTATTATTTTTAATATGCATATGAATATTTAAATTTACATGTCTGAATATTTATGTGCTGTTGTATATCTATATTTAACGAAAATGTTTCATCAAATTGAAATTGATATGAAAATCATATCTTTTTATGGCAATAGAACGTGGGCAGAAATGTAGCCAGGTGTGATAATCGAATGTGCAGTCTTATTAAACCTATATTTGGTCAACAGTCGCAAATTGTTCCGTAAGCAAATCGTGGCTAGTTGTAAAATAATATATGGTATATTCATCTGCGGCAGTTTCTACTGGCAACATTTCTGATTATGTTTTTATACTATTAATAATTATTCAGTGCATAAGTTAAGAGTAAATATATACACATCAATAAATAACCGTGTCTGGAAACCTACTTATTTGAAAGCCGTTCGTCTGTGCACACATCACTCGTGTGCGTGTGCGTATATTTGCGTGTGTGCGGTTGCTTTGTGCGTGCGCGTGCATGCGTTGTGTGTGTGTGTGTGTGTGTGTGTGTGTGTGTGTGTGTGTGTGTGTGTGTGTGTGTGTGTGCGTGTGTGTGTGTATACGTGTGTGAGTTCTTTGTGTGTTATGTAGACGCGCACGCACACACACACACACACACACGCACGCGCGCGCGCGCGCGCGCGTGCACACATGCCCCTGTCTCTTTCTGTTTCCTCTTTTTTTCTCCCTCCACCCCTCTCTCCTTCCTAATTCTGCCTCTCTACTGCAACTGTCATCTTGCCTCCCCGCTAGCTAAGACCCTGATAATAGCTATGACCCTGGTGGCAATAATCTTATTTCTAATCATGAATTTCACCTAATGAATAACATGGTAAATGATATGCTCATGAAATGCTTATGAATTAAATTCTAATCTAATGAATTATGAATAGTGTGTACATACATCATTGCAATAATACATCTTACTACATCTTAACAATTTCTAAATAGTCGAACGTGTGAAATGACCGGCGATTCATAATTCTTTTGACTACAATGGTAGAACTTTTGACTACAATGGTAGAACTTTTGACTAAGTGTGTTTTACCGACACAGAAGCTGTCGTTCTCGTAGTCTTCGTCGTCGTCGTCGTGGCGCGGAGGCTGCGAGAACACATCCATGCGGCGATTCGCATAGTTGAGCTTGTAGCCGCCGATGCCGGGGCTGCGCACAGACGTTAGATAGACGCCTGTCATGTCTGCAAACACAACGAAGCAGCACAACAGTCAGCGTGGCGCCAGTCTCTATACGATCGGTTAACACGAGAGGGGATAGACTTCTGACTGGCGTCGACATCCAGAAACCGGGAAAAATTTCAATGCTATTTAACTGTTTGGTATTTAGTAATTATTAGCATTTGCTGTCAGGGGCCCGTCGTCAGAAATAAAATTAGTCTCAACATTAACCTTTACACTAGCGTTATCTCGTAGACCCGACCTATGTACACTGCATATGAGAAACTCAGGAAATGGTAATGGTCAAACTAATGTTAAGACTCATTTTGTTTCTGACAACGGGCCCCAGGGTTGAAGTTTATGGTTAAGTTCAGGGTTATAAGATTAAGGATATTGTAAAGGTTAGAGTCAGGGTTTAGATTATACAGTACACAATCTATTATCTGAAACCCTTGGGACCAGACACTTTTCGGAATTCGGAATTTTTCGGATTTCGGAATGGTAGTACCGTACAGATATATATATATATATATATACTGTATATCCTGCAACTATAGCCAGTACTAAAACCCAAGTTTTAGTTTTCAAGAGGCCAAGTGCTGTGCCAGTACAGTACAATATGTATGAGTAATGCCAAACACATTCATATTTCTGCAGAGAACCTTGTTCAGCCACACGTGAGCTTTGGTGTGCAGACAACCAAACTTTGGATTTTTGGAGCTTTTCGGTTTTCAGAATTTCGGATAATAGATTGTGTATTCTAGTTAAGGTTATAGTTACTCTTCGCTGCCTGCGTGAGCTGCGAGGCATCGTCAATGAAGCTCAACTCTAGCTTCTCATCATCATCGCTCGCCTCCGTCTCGTCCGACGACGGCTCTTCATCAGCCTCCGCATCCAGGAGCGCAGCATCGTCTATGAACGGGTTCGCTGCTCCACGCACCTGCAAGCAGCGAGCGAGCACGAAGCCAGGAGTAAACGGCTAGAACAACAATGAGCCACCATCCCCACCCTGACCCACCATCTTCACGCATGGCCGAGGAGGGAGCCACGAGTTAACGAGACAAGAACAATGACTCCTGGCCACCATCTTTACACATCGGCATGGTCGCGGGTTTTGGCCAGTGAAACAGTTGATATGCCAGTACTACTTTTTCCAATTATTGACGATACAACGGTAAAACTATTCAAGTGCGTTGGGGCAGGATATTCTTATCAATGGCTTAATTATCATCAGCTTTTATCATGAGATGATTTTGGCTTGTGATGAGAATACCATGAGATGATTATGGTAGGTCAAGTAGATATTACGACGACACCTAGTGGAGTAGATAGTTGAGTAGATTGTTAAGTATACAGTATCTTAAACAGATATACTTATTATCAGCTGAATATGATAAGTTAAGTAGAAGAGATTGTTAAGTATACAGTACTTTAAACAGATGTACTTATCATCAGCTGATTATGATAAGTATATATTACCACGAGACTTCATAGATAGTTAAGTAGACGGTTAAGTAGATAGTTAAGGATACCATACCTTACAGGACAGTGGCTTCAGCTGATCGTAGTTTATCTCTCTGCGCGCTGACGTGCGTGGTTTTGCTTCAGCTATGAACTCTGCCGTGCTGCCACTACTGCTCGCCCAGCTCGGCTGTCTGTTGTCTGTCGTGCTGGAGCTAGAGCTGGCGATCCTGCGCCTGCATGGTCGCCCCTGTCCCACGCAGACGGGCGACTCCTCCTGTATGATGTAATAGTGATCTATGTGTCAAACTAATTAAAGAAATATCGCGCATCTTACATACCAGCATTGATAATGGTAAGAAGCCTTTTTACTGGTAATTGTCTGTTTGTTGTCTGCCTGCCTACCCCGCTTGCCAGCGTACGTGAATGCCTGCTTCCCAGCGTAATGTGTCTAACTGTCTGCATATGTGTCTGCCAGTATGCCTGCATATGTTTGCCTGTCTGCCTGCTTATTTATGTATGTGTCTGCCTGTCTACCATGTCCATCTTTCTCCCCCCCCCCATTCTGCCGACACACCTCACTACAATTACACATTGCGCATTATTGACGCATGATTATTTTACTATTGCGCTGTTGAAACCAAACACTTCACATCGGGAGTCACTCAAGCAACCGAGAAACAACTGCCACTGACAACCACCTCGTGGACATACATAATCAACATACACCGGCTGCTAGTGGGTGCATACCGCAGAACTGGGCATCGTCGTCGCATGTGCTGCCACCAGGGCGGCGGTGGCGGCGGCGGCAGGTGTGCTGCTGGTGGGATGCTGATGTGTCCTGGAGATGGTAGGGAAGACCGGCGAGTCAGGTGACATCAATGCAGCGGCTCGTTGCCTCTTCGCACGCGGTACAATGGGAGTATCCGGGGACTGCATCACACTGAAAGCAGCAGCAGCAGTAGCAGTAATAGTAGTAGTGTTAGTAGTAATAATAGTAGTAGTAGTAGCAGTAGCAGTAGCAGTAGCAGTAGCAGTAGCAGTAGCA